GCAGGAAGTCACCGCCATGGACTCGGTGCTGAGGTTAGCTCTTTTTCACGGGTGCTGTGAAAGGGGGGTGTAGGCCGTGGGTTTAGTTTCTGGCTAGCACTTAGCAGTGACCCCTAGTTCTGTTAATAAATGGCACTTTTGCACATTGGGCTGGGATTTGCCTTGCAAGCATAGCAGTACGTGTGGCCTGCTGCTACACAGTGTTTGAGATGTCTGTAAGAGAGAGTGAATCAAGTGAAAACACCCTGGTGCTGTGTCAGGTTAGTTTGTCTGATGATTACTTCAACTGTGTGGATACGATTTCTCACCAAACTCACAAACTGTGGTCCGTGTAGCAGAGGTGCTATGTGGGCATGTTTCACCCACTGACTTCACTACAGGTTTTGATGCAGGTAGCACATGAATTAGGAAAACTTTAAAGCCTTGGTCTGTCTGATTATATGAAATAAAAAATCAGAGAGGGAAACATTGTGTTCAGATGCTACTTGCAAATATTAAATAAAAAGCAGAAATGAAATCTGTAGTATTTCTCAAGCACGAAGCAGCAGATTACCTTCCAGGGGTTACTGTTTTCTGATTAGTGTTGCACAAGTGGTTTGTATGAACTGCAAATTAATGACAAGATGTTACTGTTGTGTTATCTGATGGGTGGATTTGCAGGTTTCCAAGAGAGAACCTCAGTTATCTCTTTGGAGAAGTTTAAACCCTTTGTGGTATTTGTTCACTCATGGAGCAATCTTCAGATTAAAAACATTTTGCTTACCACCTCCAGAAGATCATAGGAGGTGTATTTTGGCCTTGAGGAGTACAAGACAATGGCTACAGCTGCATGTGAATAAGTTTTGTCATCTTCTTAAGTGAATCTAAGTGCTCTGTGAGATCTTGTAATGAGATAATAACCTCTAGTAGCACTTCCTGGTCTGTCCTTTCCTATGTACTATTTTTATAAGAGGTTGAAATTCCTACAGGTGGCATGGGGCAGATCAAAGCCTGATATGAGTGTCTCTGTCGGCATTGATGTGTGACACGACAGTGCAGTCAGGTGTGGGCTGTGGTGTGCTACTGCGGGGCAGCAGAGCCTAAGAGTGGCAAAGTCAGTGTGATAGCGTGTCTGAAACTTGCCCTTCGTGTACCAGTATGGATGATGCATCTTTGTAATCTCTGTTTGGGGAGGGGAATAACATCTTTCTGAAGGAGACTGAGAAGAGTGGTTGGGTGGATAAACCTGATCTGATAAGATCAGATCTCCTCTGCAGAGGTAGGTGCTGTGTTAGCAAACTTCCCACGTGTTCCAGGGAGGAGCAGCGATTGACTTGCCTGGCTGCTTTGGGGTTTGCACTATCAGTTGTACGATCAGTTATAGAGGAGCATGAAAGCTCCCATCATTCCACATTGGTATTACCTCCTGTGAGTGTATGTATACATGTGTGTGTGAGTGTATACACGTGTGTATTCACATGTGTTGATATAAACATACATGTATATACATACACATATATGGAGACATGCTACATTTTTCCTCTTCTAGCATTTTCAGAAATTGTGGGATGGTGTCCTAAAAATGGCGTATAATAAAGCCTTGTGGTTTTTCAAGTAGTGGCCACCTTTCTTTTTCCATCAAAGGTATTCTAATTATCTTTTGTTTATGTAGTGACTCTTAATTTGATGTGTTGGTTTTAGTGAGGTTCTTGTGCTTGTTCTATTCATTTGGACAATCAGTATTCTAGCATGGGCTCTGGAAATTAGTATTTTCTTCTATTCAGTCCTCTCTATTTGCTCCAATGAAAAACAAGCCTTTCCTGCACGCCACTGTCCATCCAAGCCTATTGAGAAGGGTAATAACCCAGAACATGCCTGCAATTAGTTGTGTATGTGCTGTGTTACAATTGTGTCTCAATGCTATCTCGTTTATTTACTGGAGTGTTAAATGTAAGGGTGTGCTAACACTTGAGACATTGCTGCATCCGCTGAAAAGCTGAGATTGAAAAACAGACTGAGTGCAGAATGAAAATAGTGTTGGGCGTTACAGTAGTAAAAAAATCACCTTGCCGTACAGCATTGGCATTCTGTGTGCTTGCCAGCCATAGACTGCCATCAGCTCCAGGTCAAACAGGGTGATACAATATTGAGTTCTTTGGCCAGGTACCCAAAGAAAGGTGTAGCGTGTTTTGGTTTTGCTTGTTTTCTGACTGTATTTAATGCTGGTGACATACCACAGGAGCAGCCCCAGAGGCTGAAACCCTCTGTTCAGAACTATCTATGAGAGTGCTAGTTCATGTCCTGACCCATTTTTGTGACCTTTTCTCCAGACCACAGTCCTCTCTTCATCGCTGTAAGATGTGTAACAAAACACTGTTAAAGTTGAGGGAGCAATTATTTCATTACTTGTTAATTTACTGACTTCTCTGTTGAGACAGTTCAAAGGGTGGTAGTTAGAACAGTAGTTTTTGTGATTAATTGTTTGTAAGTAATTAAACTTATCACCTAAGCAGTTTACAAAAAAACACTGTATTACTGTGTAGTAAGGGCTGTCTGGTTTTTGTGGCACACAACAATTTAGTGCTATATTGGTTTGTAAAGTCTTAATTTTATGATTCCTTGATTTCTTCTAAGTACCTTATTTTAAATATCAAACTCTACTGAATCACTTGTGGCATATAGTTCTTCATATTTCCTGATGACTTTAGGAGAGATTGAAGGAGGAACAGTAACTTCTTAGACCTGTGCACTTTCTTTCAGGCAAGGGTATGCTGAAGATTATTATACAAAAAGTGGATGGAGTGATTATTATCCAGGCTACTACCCAAACTCATATGATTATGGAGGTAAGGTGGCAAAATGAACTCTGAATTTTTCTGTAGAAAGTTGCAGATTTAAACAACAATTTATGGGGAAGAGAAACTTTTAAATCAGAAAATTATTATATTTTTTTATATAATAACCATGTTTCCCTGAAAGGTGTGAAATTTTTTTTTAGGGTTTTTTTTTTTAACTAAAAAAGAATGGACATATTTATGTAGCTTTAAGTACATTATTTTGGTTTGGTTACATGCTTCAGGACCAAATCAGCATGCAATTAAAGAGAAAGGAGTAGAAAAAGGTTATGGACAATGGCTTCCAATACCTAAACCATTTATTTTTATTTTCCAAAGATCCAAGTCGCTGGGAACGTTACTCATCAGCATATGACCCCAGATACAGAGATCCTAGAAGTTATGATCAGAGGTATTGGTATGATGCTGAACGCAACCCTTACTCATATGGCAACAGGTTTGTCCGTTTGATCAGTGTTCTCTCAATACTCTTTCCAGATCTAGGGCAGCGTGGGGCCTAGGTGTTGATGACAATCAGAGAACTAGTGTGTATGTCTGAGTGAAGGCGGAGAATCTGGTCTTGGTTTCTTCAGGGCTGAGTCCCCCATAGTCAAATGTGTCACCAGAAAATTAAGTTATGGCAGCGTTAAGGCAAAAGCTGAGACTTTGCTTGTGCACTAACAGAAATACCATTTATTTGCTGAAGATCTGCCCCAAAGCCTTCAAAGTTTATGAACTGTTGTGATAGTTTTATCAGGTGTCAGAATTTCAGGGTATTGTGCAGCTTTGTAAATAAAGTCCTCTCAATATTCACTAGGAAGGCAGATACATCCTGGAACAGATAGTATTACACATTTCATGGATATATGTTGCTAGTCCCTTCTGTAGCTTTAACATGGGTCATTGAGGAAAAACAGATTAGCTGTCATGTTACTCTTAAGAAAAGGATTTAAGGCAGTAGGACTTGTTTTCCGATCAGGTGAACACTCTGTGGGTTTTCCTAGAGCAGACTCTGAGTATGGTGTTGGTCTTGATCTTGAATATTCTGGATTAACTTCTTGAAGAAATCTCAGTTTGTTTACTGTAATAAAAACCTCAATCTGGGAAATAATCTAAAAGCCCTTCTGAAGCTAGGTGCAGTTTTCTTCTTGACAGGTGTGCAGTGAAGTCAGTTCCCCCAGGGGTATGGGTGGCTATGTTTATTTGTGCTCTGTGTGTTCTTTTGTTCTTCAGACATGACCGATATGAAGATAACTGGAGATACGATCCTCGTTTTACTGGAAGTTTTGATGATGAATCTGAACCCCATAGAGATCCTTACGGTGATGAGTTTGATAGACGCAGTGTCCATAGTGAGCATTCTGGTCATAGTCTCCGTAGCTCCCGCAGTGTTCACAGTCACCAGAGCAGCTTCAGCTCTCGCTCTCAACAAGTGAGTTTCAAGTGGTCCCATCAAGTATTCTTTTAGCGGAGTTGGGTCTTTCTCTGTGTCAGGGGTGGGTGAAACATTAGAAATACAGAAATATTTCTGGATTTAGGTTGGGGAATATGTATTTTGAAAACTTTATTCTGTAAGTTAAGGCTGTTTTGTAATATAGTTTGGAACTTAATGTTTATCACAGTTGTCAAGAGAACTTTAACCAAAATCAGCACTCAGCTGTGCGCGTTGCCACACACACAGAAATGGAAAATTTCCTCTGCTGAATCCATTTGCTGTTTGTGAGAAGTTTGCCCTCACTGTGCTTGGCTGTAGTTGATAATGCGCCTGGCTTTCAGTGTTACGTTGTTTTTCTCATCACAAGCATGAATGCTATTACTGAACTTGGGATCTGTTAAATGACTAACTCCATATTTGTATGGTGCTATTTTGGCTTTAAAAGCGAAAACCAAATCTAACTGATTACTCATCTACTTATGCCAGAAGTACAAATACCTGAAAAACACAGAATATTTGGGTAGTTTTTAAGGTGCAGTCTCTGCTAGTGGAATGTGTCACACTGTGTGTGTTGGTTCATCATGTTTCTTGGAAGCTTAGGTGGTTTTCCAGTCTGAACTCCAGTTCATTAGTAATATTGGAAGTAGTATCAGAGATCATTTAGGCATTAATCTTTAGGCACCTGAAGTTGTTCAGGAATTCACCAGGTTTAATAGTTGAGATTTTCTGTCAAAGTGTTACAGCAGATTCTGATCCATCATTGCTGTAACTCATCATTAACCTGTAACTCATTCTGTGATGTTATCCTTCACACAAGCACATAGACATTCTGTCGTGAGAGAGCTATGTGTATTCAGGTGTGAACAGACCTAAGATATGGTAATGCCTGTTGCTGCAGGTGTCTCAGCTTGCTCAGGTGCAGTGATGTACTAAGCCTGGTTTGCAAACAGTGCAAAGAATCTGGGGGGGCAGGGAATGCTTACGGTCTTGAGTCACGCTTGCAGTATTGCTTGCTTTGTGTAACTTCATGCTGCCTGCTAACAATTACTAATATGATCTGTTTAGAGCCAGCTGTATAGAAGTAATCATGATCTAACGGTTAATGCGTACGAAACTACTGCGCAGGCAGTGTCGCTCCACACAGATTATCCATATGGCGGATATGCTGCTAACTTTGATGGACAACAGCCTTTTGCAGATTATGGCTACCCGACAGAAGCTGGATGGTCGGCTGTAGATCAAGGTATTGGCACCATTGGGGAAGGAGGAGGGAAGGCACCATGCTTGGGAAGTTGACTACAGTAGTAGTTTGCACTTCTGTTAGTATTTGTAGTGTGTGAGATGCCTTTCATGTATTCCTTGAGCTTGTTTAACAGGGAAAAAACGCTGGTTTATGGTGTATGTACAGATGAACAAAGTTTTGTTTCCTTTTCAGTGTAAGCATAACTTGCTGAAACTTGTGCATATCACAGAACAGTAGTAGCTAGACAGTGTTTGCTATTAAATACTGCGTACTTCCATTTGTAAATTCTCTCTTTTTAGATAGATTAACTACACTGCTTGTGCTTCATGGGGAATGATTAAAGCTTAACTTAATTAAAACTTCAAATTCTTCCATAAGTTTTTCTTACCCTTTCAGTGGAGAACAAACCACAGTTTCTCTGGAAAAGCTTTTCTAGAGTACATTGAAGTATATAATTAACTCTCTGAAGATGGCATCATCCAGAGATCAGAGAAATGTCTGGTACAAACAATGAAAGCCCTGTATTGAAAAAATAAGTGGATTTTGAAGTTCTATAGTCTAGTTTCCTGTTGTTGCACATCTTCAGAAGATCTTTAGGACTATAATGGAACTGATTAATTATTGCTTATAAAGTTTTGCCAAACTCAATGGCAGGGTATTTTCCACTAGTACTGCAGGATTACTGAACTGGATAAATACATCAGCAAGTTTACTTAGTTGCAAGGCATGTTGCTTGTTCTTATTTTATCTTTTCTTCCCATTTCAGGACCTTTAAGGCCCTCAACACCTGAGAAGTTTTCAGTGCCTCATATTTGTGCTAGGTTTGGTCCTGGTGGCTTCCTAATAAAAGTGCTGCCAAACCTGCCTTCAGAAGGACAGCCAGCTCTGGTTGAAATACACAGTATGGAGGTAAAGTTTCAAATAAAAAGGGGAGGTGGTGGAATACAGGTACTCCTTTTGAAAGGGGAGTAGGGAACTTGGAGCTATAGATCTATGTTCAGGTCTGGGCTTTTTATTATTAAAAAGCAAAATTAATTGTTATACTGATTTCTTATGGTTTATATTTGTGTTTTAGACTATGTTACAACATTCTCCCGAGCAAGAAGAGATGAGAGCATTTCCTGGTCCTCTTGCTAAGTATGTTCTTAAACATTTGGGAAATAACTTCCATGCATTCAGAATTCACTTTTTCAAGGAACTTTTAATTGTCTGCCAATTACAGGATTTAAACTGACTTAAAATATCAGTGACTTTTAACCTGCTTAAAAAATACATGAGCTTTAAATTTGTTTCTCATACTGTTCACAGTAATGATCGGAATGCTTACATTTGTCTCATTAAAAACTTTTTTCTTTTTTTTTCTGTTTTTTTCAGGGACGACACCCATAAAGTGGATGTTATTAATTTTGCACAAAATAAAGCTACACAGTGCTTTAAGAATGAAAATTTAATTGACAAAGAATCTGCAAGTCTGCTTTGGGACTTTATTGTACTGTTGTGTAGGCAGAATGGGGTATGTCTCTCTGCTTGAATTTTTCTTTATCCTAAAATATTTTATACACAAAATGGTATTTATGTAAAAGACAGTAATATGCGTATAGCGACTTGTCTTGGAACAGTTCAGAGTGATGGAACATGTAGACTGGTCACTTGTCCTCAGATGCTCAGAGGTGCTGATATTCACATAGTATTGTTGAAGTGACAAATAAAATGAAGGCAATGTTGAAATAACAGATTTTTTTTTTGTTTTTGTTTTTCTAACATGTATAGACTGTTGTGGGAACAGACCTGGCTGAACTTTTGCTCCGAGATCATAAAACAGTGTGGCTTCCTGGGAAGTCCCCTAATGAGGCAAATTTGATTGATTTCACTAATGAGGCTTTGGAACAAGTGGAAGAGGAATCTGGTGAAGCCCAACTCTCATTTCTCACTGATAGTCTTATAACCACAATTGACAGTCTTGAGAAAGAGACAGAGAGATTCAGAGAGTTGCTGCTCTATGGCCGCAAGAAGGTGAATGTTTATACTGCTATTCCAAATACTGTATGTGTCTTACTTTTGTTTACTTATTTTTCACAAATCTTAAAGCTCTGGGCATCAGTTAAAATAATTTTTGAGTCTTGCAGTGCATATAATATATCATGGCACTGCACTACACTGATATGGAAAAATGTTATGCCCTACAGTTTATAATATGAAACAAGATTATATTCATGTGTTAGCATTTGACCTAAACAAACTTTTTTTTTCATTTAGTCACAAAGTACTACTGTAAAATGGTCATTGCTTATTTGAGTAGTATGTTGAGCTATTACCAGGAAACTAATTTCTGTATTAATTAGGATGCTTTGGAGTCTGCCATGAAGCATGGTTTATGGGGTCATGCTCTGCTACTTGCCAGCAAAATGGACAGCAGGACACATGCAAGAGTTATGACCAGGTACTGTTTTACTTGTTGATTAGTACAATATGGCTACCTGCTCTGCTAATGAGGTAGAGATTTTGGTGCTCAGAAATATTAATGTCAAAGTCATGAGTTATCCTTAGCTCATGCAAGAATTATTCTTTAATTTTACCTGTATATTCAGTTGTCATCTGTTACTTTTTATTCGGGGGCCTTCTGGCCATAAACTTCAAACTGAGAAGTTACTCTATTTACTCATTCCATTTAAGGGGTACTTCAACAGCGTCTTCTGTGGGTTTGCTTGATAGGTGCTGTTAGTCAGGCTTTGAAGAAACTGTACAAAATCCCAAGTGTCAACTTTGTGAAAGCCAAGTAACTCTGTACCCTCTGTTCTTCTTGTCTGAAAGAAGCAGATGTATTTGTGCAAGCTTTGTGTGTAGATAGAAAAACTTTTTACAGCTTTCTGAGCTTATGCAATCATGTACTAAGTCTAGTCAGCTGGCATGGGGAGAATACTGAGGTTTTTCCTAGCTTGAACTGACCTATGTTGGAGTGGGAGATCCAGTTAAGTAGTAATCTATTGCTTTTGAACATTATCCACTGGGCAATTGCTTATTCAGTGTAGTATTTTCAAACAGTAGTTCCTTCTCTTAAACTAGGCTAGATTAACTGCTGCTGAGTGTTCAGGTACATTTTAACTGCTTACCCCATGTTTGTGTTTTGTTTTTCTGTGTAATGTCTCTGTAGATTTGCCAACAGTCTCCCCATTAATGACCCTCTGCAGACTGTTTACCAGCTCATGTCTGGAAGGATGCCAGCTGCATCCACGGTAAGATTCAAGTGGGAGCTGCAGTTGAGGCTAAGAGGTACTGCAGTGAGTAGTGTAGTTCACAGCAGTGATCTTTCCATGTGTTTTCCATAGAATTGTCAGATAAGATGTTTTAGTCCTTTTTAAGTTAAAACACCCAGGCAGAGCTCCAGTCACTGGTTTGACTAAGTGATTCTTCTAATTTTAGTGCTGTGGAGATGAGAAATGGGGAGACTGGAGGCCTCACCTAGCGATGGTGTTATCCAACTTGACCAATAATGTGGACTTGGAATCCAGGACCATTGCTACCATGGGAGACACTCTTGGTAACTCTTGGGGAATGAACAGGGTGATGACTGAAGGAAAAGCTTTCTGAAAGCTTTAATTACTCAGCCTATTTTTTAAAAACAAGCAATTGCTATGTAGAGTGTAAAGTGGAACAGTTTTATATGGGTACATCTCCATACAGAACACTGAATTACAATGTGCCACCAAGAGGAAATATTCTGAATTCTGTCACTTATTTCTGTACAGCTTCTAAAGGTCTGCTGGATGCTGCTCATTTTTGTTACCTTATGGCCCAAGTTGGTTTTGGTGTTTACACAAGGAAGACAACAAAGCTTGTCCTAATTGGATCAAATCATAGGTTTGTCTTTCCTTTTTTTTTTTAAACACAGCTTTTTAGAAGTAAATACGAAAGGTGAATGGCTTGAGAGACTGAGTTGCACTGCTCCCCTTATCACTAGCCACACCTGTTTTTGAGAACTATTTAATGCCCTGTCCTTGTTTGAGAAGTTATTGATATTGTGTGTCTAATAGAGCCATGTTTCTGGCTTTATTTCTGATTGTCTTTATTGTCAGCATGTTGTTTATTGTTATTTTGTTTAATGTTTATTGTCTCAATGTTTAATTTTTTTTCCTCTCCCATTTCTGAATAGCTTGCCATTTTTTAAGTTTGCCACCAATGAAGCCATTCAAAGAACAGAAGCCTATGAATATGCACAGTCGTTAGGAAGTCAGCCTGGCTGCTTGCCCAATTTCCAGGTGAAAAGCTGTTTCATTTTTTTCTTTATTTTGGTAGCTCTTAATGCTGTAATCAGCACAGCAAGTATCTTATCCATTGTAAAATGAAATATTAGTGGATAACATAGTGCAGGATTGCTTTTTTTTCTGTTGTCACTTAAATCACCTTTTTGCATTTTTCATACATGCATTCTGAACTTCTGAGTTTTAAATATTATCGTTGTAACTATACTCCAAAAGAAAAATCCAGCAGAATGTTCGCACTAGCCATAGACAAATAGGTAACTTTCATTGGATACATTGAGTGGAAGAGGAGAATTGAATGCTCTTTGAATGCTCTTTTCCTCACTTTTTTTTTTCCTGCCTAGTAATAGATGTGATAATGGGTTATCTGAGCTTTCAACTGCCTTTCATTCAATACTTCTAAGAATGTTCTGATCACTTGGTTAATTTCACCTGCTTGCATTTCATAGGTTTTCAAATTCATCTATGCTTGCCGACTAGCTGAAATGGGACTTGCTGCTCAGGCTTTCCATTATTGTGAAGTGATTTCCAGAACTGTCCTTAAAGATCCACATTACTATTCACCTGTACTTATTGGCCAGCTGATCCAGGTAACATAAGGAAGAATTAAGTATTTGTGGCTTCATGTTGTAGGCGGTAAGCTGTGGCTAAAGTTGCCTTTTGTTGGCTGGTTAACTTAAATTATGAAATGATTCCTTTCTCTAGATGTCATCGCAACTACACCTGTTTGACCCACAGATAAAAGAAAAACCAGAACAGGAATCTTTTATTGAACCTTCATGGTTAGTAAGGCTTCGACACGTGGATGGACAGATCAAGGTACAGGATGTACTTTTCAACATGAAGTATTCTCTTTTAAGGATTAGTGTAAATCCAATTTTTAAATGGTTTTGTTTATACTGCTCATTACAGAAACATATGAAATGACCTTACGATATATTAATGTCGTAAGGTGCAAATGTTATGATTTGAACCAAGTGGATTTACTGTACTTTAGTGCCCTAAGATTCAATACAGAATAGTCAAAGGGTGGTGTACATTCAGTGAGACAGGCTTTTCTTAGTACCATAATGTAAGGAGAATTGCAAGGCTTGTTAGGCTGCAATAACTCCTGCTGTAGGCAGAGAATCTGCTTGCCAGAAAAAAAAGTTGTATGTGAATTAGCATAGCTAGATTGTAACAGATTGGAAATAATTACCATTTATTTTAAGAGATCTGCTAGAGATTTGAACCTTGAGCTAATTAACTAAACTTCAATTTAAAAAAGAAAAACTTAAAAAAAAAAAAACAACCCACAAACAAAAAAAAAATAGACGTTTTGGTTGAACTTGGCCTGCAAATGGCTGACATCTAATTTTTTGACTAAACACTAAAAAAACCTGTGTGCTGTTTTCAGTCTTTAAGATTTCCTGTGCTATATGTTCCCTTGGTTATGAACTTAATGTCTGGTACAGTTAATAAGATCTTGCTTTTTTGTGCAGGAGGGTGCAATAGCTTATAACACAGACAGATCCACCCCACCACCATATGCATGTAGTACACCAAGCTCTGAATTAGACCATGCTAGTCAATGTGATGGAGCAGGAGTTGGCCGTGACATGGGTCCAGGTGCTGAAAATGCATTGTTAGCATCCTTATTACCCAATATGGCTCAACAGATGCAAAGTGTGCAGCTGATGCCTTCAGGTTAGTGTTTCATATCCTTCTTCATGTCAGAGAGAAAATAAACGTTTCAGGTTTCTGGTGTAAGAAACCACTTAAGAGGGTGGTAGAGCCAGTGAGATTTCACTTCTGCATTGTATCATTTTATTCATAGGGTAAAAGGTTCACACACTGGAATTTCTGCTAAGTTGTAACTCTTATTTTTTTTACTTTTTTTTTTTTTTTTGTGCTGCAGTACCTCAGGCTGTCCTTGATGGGTCAGCTGCTATGATTCCTCCTGGTGACCAGGAACCAGTCCGAAGTGTCCCTTTCTATTCTGTGGCTTCTCAGCCTAGTGGTCCAGGACCTGGCTTTGCACCTCCAGGATTTTCAAATCCATATGGAACTGAACCATCACCACTGTATTTAGGGTCAACACTACCGCCAGGAGGGCCACCACAAGAAATTGAACCACGGTCAGAAGAGCAGACAAACCTGGAAACAGGTCTGGGATCTTAGTAAACAGCTTTCCTCCCTCATAAGGGGAATGAAGTATTTTGGGGAATAATGCAAAATATATCAATATTTAGAAAATAGTAATAGTAGGGTCTTTCTAGCACAGAATTCATAACTAGTGAAAACTTTTACCTCAAAAGTGTTGTGGGGTTTAGGAGCTTTTGGGTTTTTTGGTTTTGTTCTGTCTCCCCCCACTAACATAATCTAATTTGTTTTTTAAGGAATGCAGAGAATTGGCCCGGATTCTCCTTCACAAAACTCCTTCCCTGAACAGAGAGAGGAGGATTTCTATGGCAGAATGGCTAGCATGGTATCTTTTTTGTACATCTCTTCAGCAAGTGTCAGCTGCATTGCAGATCTTTGCAAACACAAGAGTATATTGGGGCTCTGTCTTGCTCTTCAGCCAGACTTGAAGCTTAATTTTTCTTTCCCACTGTCTTTGCCCTTCAGTAGGATAAATAATGAAGAACTAGTAGAAAAATTTTATCCAGATTTTTCTAAAAATATATATTTTTTAAAGGGGGCAAGGGGGATATCAGGCTGTTGTCTGAAGAGTTTAATTTATCTTTCTCTGCCCTGCCTTCCTCTCCCGCCTCCCAGAATGATTCTTCATAGCCAGAAGAACTTGTAGCATACATCAGCAAGTGAGGCAAGCAGCCCTTAAAGAACAGTTCTGTGACTGAGTTTTGAAAGCACAGTTATTGCTGCTGTTTGGTTGTGACTGGAAATGTGGAAGGTGTTTATCAAAATCCCAAACCCCTCTTTTAGATATATAGCATTTTCACAGTTTAAATATCACTGAAGTTGATATCTCCTTGGAAGTTATTTTAGTCTCCTAAAGTGACAATTGTTTGAAATAATTAATAGAAACATTTTTAATATGGATACATTTGGCAACTGATAAAGGATGAGGAGACTTTTTCACTAGAAATTAACTGTACTTGTAGAAGAAACAGTAATTTTTTTTTGTTGGTTGGTTTGTCATGTTTGAGTTGCTATATGAACATTAGAAGAACAACCTAATGTTGGAGGCGGGTAAAACAAATGCAGCAACCACTCCCTGGTGCAGCACTTTTATATCTTTCCTGTTGTGGGCTGGTTAGCCTGCACAGCAGTGCCCTGATTTAAGGTTACATGATAGTGCAATTACTTGGCCAGACTTCAGCTCCTCTTCTGCACCCCCTATATGTCAGAGATAGAAGTACCCAAATAACCAGCTTGAATATTTTTAATTGTGTGGCAATTCTTGATAAAAAGTGAATGTTGTGTCAGATATTTAGCTGCTTGCTTATTATGCATGTCCTGGCTTTATGTCTAACCAGGCACCAGGACGAAGATCCAGATCTGCATCTCAGTCTTCAGCACATATGGTATGCCACAAGCAGGCTGCTTCTTTCTCTAGATCTTTATTCTTATTTATGTTTGTTTTTTATGGGCTTTTGTATCTTCCTGTTCCTAACTTTTCAAAGAAATAATTTGTTTAGCAAGACGAGATGTAATCCATCATTCCAGCAGTGATGACTTTGTACTTTCCTGTGTATTTGTAATGTAGGGCTATGGGCGAAGATCCCGAACAACTTCAGAGTCCTCTGCTCATTCTGTGGGACGAGAGAGATCCAACTCTGCAGCAAAACAACCCTCTCCTTCTCCCCCTGTTCAAAAAAACTAAAAAAGAAGTAAAAAAGGAGCCAGCACCTAGAAAGGTAAACTTTCTAAGAAGAGTAGCTACAGCTGGAGGAAATTTGTTAGTATATGTAGTAACTCCTGGTCCAGGGTACTGATTTACAAGGTCCTGAGTAAGCTGTTTGTTTCTATTTATTAGGTGCAACTCTGGGCTCAGAGTTAAAGTCCCTGACAGAAAATGAGTTGCTGCATGAATGTTTTTTTAAATCTGCCTGTAAAGACAGCATTGAGAGAATAGTAACTGAGTAGATTAATTTATTTTTAGAGTGGTGCAACCTGGTTCCGCTGGCTGATGGGAAAAGGAAAGAATGAAGCTCACCTTCCAGATGACAAGAACAAATCAGTAAGTCCCCTAAATCACAAAAACCTTTACAAGTTTTAATTTGTTCAAAATGTTTTCCTGAATGACAAATGAATGTTGTTTTGACAAGTAAACAAATGTGTGTAAAACTTTCAAGATTATATTTTTTTTCAAAACTATCTTTTTAAAAAATTATTGGGATTTTTCTTTTTTTGGCTTAACAGCTTTGTTTGAACTGCTAATCTTTAACTGTGGTTTTCTTATAGATTGTTTGGGATGAACAGAAACAACGCTGGGTTAATCTGGATGAACCAGAAGAAGAGGTAAAAATCTGGCACTCGTTATTTCTACAAATAAAAAACTGAAATCTGTACTGGCTTGCAATTTTCTTTAATCTGTTACTGGCTCTTCAGAGCTGCCTTTTACTGAACTTGGATTAAATGTGCAACACCTTGAAATTAATAAGCAGGTGACATGTTCTTATAGTCTACATCCCTGTGAAACCATTTGTATCTTTAGTTGCTGGTGGGTGTCTAGTAATTGCAATTGAATTTATGAAAGCATTTGCTCTAAACTTAGTCCAGTGTATCTCTTCATAGAGGTTGGCATCACCTAGACAATTGCTTGTTAATTGACTTGCTGCATACAGAATATAGGGAGAAAACCTAGGACGAGTCTATAGTTTTGAAAATGTAATTCATTGTATAGCAAAGAAAATCATGCATCCTGTCCATCCTGGTCATTCAAGGATCTGTCTCAAAACACAAACAAACGATAAAAGCCTTGACATTAGTTATCAGATGGAAGATTAATAATATTGGTCTGCACTACAAGATGTATGTCTGCATACTGTGAATTTTATGTGCTCTGGAATAGGTAAGGAAAAGGAGAAGTCGGATGGATGCTTGGTTTAAAACTCCTGGTCAACAATCTGGTTGGATGGTTTTTTGTTCTCCTTGCAGAGTAAGCCTCCCCCACCACCTCCAACAGGATTTCCTAAAGTTCCTCAGGCTGTTCCACCTGGGCCTGGAGGTCCACCTGGTGCCCCTGTGAACATGTTCTCCAGAAGAGCAGGTAACATTGATACTTGAAGTATGGAAGACTTCAGATTTTCTGATGCATAAAATGTGAAGACAGAAGTCTTGGCTTTTCTGGAGTTGTTTGGGAACAGCTGGCAATTCAAGGATATCACGGAGCTGTGGCTATTGCTGGCTTTGCTTGTGCCGAGCTCCTGTGCTGTAATTGTTGTCACAACTGTATGGTGACTTGGTTATTGTTGTTTGCATCCCTGGAGCATTATTTTCTGATTCTGAAAGATGGCTTAACCAGCAGACTGCTTGAAATAGACATGGGGATGACTAACGCAAGGCTTATTTCTGTTATTTCTGGATTTTTCTGTTTTAGCTGGGAGCAGAGCCCGTTATGTTGATGTCCTGAATCCAGGTGGAACCAAGTCAAGCGGTGCTGTTCCTGCACCATCAGACCTATTTGCCCCCTTGGCACCAATGCCAATTCCTGCAAATGTGTTTGTTCCAAACTCAGGTGCGTCATGAGTGGATAAAATTGTAAAGAGGTGGTTGCAGAGATTCAGTTCTGCTGATGTCCCTGCTTCTCATTCTGTGAATGGTGTGTTTGGCTAAATCCTGTTTCCTTTGTAGTTCCAGGGGAACCCCAGCCCATGGAAGGGAGTGGTGCAGCAGAGCACACACCAGCTGCGAATCAAACCAACACAGATCCTGCTGCAGCTAAAAAAAAAAGAATGTCTTCTATATATAATTCAATCTTCTCATTAAAAAATCCCTTGTGATCCTGAATAGTAGTTTCATAGCTGCAGTACGTACAAGCCATGTTGTCGTAGGGATTACTTTTGTGTATAACATTTTAGTTAAAGAACTGGAGAATGGAAGTGACAGTGAAAATGGAAGTGCCAGTGAAAATGGAAGTGGGAAGCCCATGAAAGGTTGTATTTCCTAATTTGACAGGGCTGAAGGTTCCATGGGCACAGTATGTGTCAGGAAGGGGACCAAGAATATAAGTAGTAGCTGTACACTGCATGTGTCACCTGGCTTGATGTGTTGCAACGCTGTTTTGCTTCAGAGGGATCAATACAGCAGAAATGTGAAATAGCATCCTAGTAATGAAGATAAAAGTGCCTTGTTTTTCTTTAGTATTTAAACCCTGCGATCCCCCCTGGGTCTGGACTTCCCGTTTCTAACCCTGATGGCTCCCAATCAGGAGAGGTAAGGCTTGATTCAGCATGTTTTGACCATTAATTTGTAGTGGACTTAACATGGGCCATCTGAAACAAAAGTAACTGATTCAGTTGCTGATGACTAGCCAAGGTGGAACCGTATGACTGCCTCCAAAATTGTGCAGCAAAGACCTCTTAAGTCCATATGAGAAGTTCAGCTTCTATGTCCCTACATTCTGTGGTGTGGTCTCCTTTTTCTATATAAGTGGACTTTTAAAAGCCTTTTTCAGAGTAAAATGTCAGTAGCAGTTTGAGGATCTCTTCTTGCCTCCATGCATGCGTATAATTTCACTAATACTAAGTTCAAGACACAAAGAGGAGAATAGATTGCTATGTGCCAGGCAGAGTAACATTACCTTTGTTCCTACTAAATGTTTTCTATATCTACATAATTTTGTGCTTTAAGAAGTCCTTTTGATTTAAACTAACTTCTGGCTTTACATTTTTTTTTTTAACTTGAAGTTGGTTTAACCTTTGGCAGTGAGACTTTAAAATTAAATAAAACAACTGAAAGCTTGGGGCAGTGACATGCATGACGACTTTTTTATTTGTGTTTTTTTGTATTTGTGTGTTCTTGCTGTTTTGTAGCTTTCGCGCTCTAGTTCAATGAGTTCATTATCACGTGAAGTAAGCCAGCATTTTAATCAGGTACATGTGGCTGGCCATTCTCATTTATGTTAACTTATTTACTTTTCCCCTCTTTATTTTGCATTTGCTCAGATACTTCCTAATGCTACTTTTAGCCATTTTCCCCTCTTTTCATTTCACAGAAGTAACATTAAAAGTGACTAATGATGTAGTGTTCCTTTTAACACTCCAACAGGGTCTTCAGAGTTTTTTGTATTTATGAGAATGCATGTAATCCAGGCATGCTTTTTGTTTATGTTCATGTTCCTAAGAGATTCACTTAAAAATTTTGATCAGCTCTTCCCTGGGATACCAAAGAAGTCAGTTGATTTAAAAACAAACAAACAAAACCCCAAAAAATTCCTAAAAAGACTCACACAAGCAAAACCTTGTCATTCTGCTGCTGCCAGTCTCAAATCAGTAATAACACCATTGTCTGTTTCATCTGCAAAAGCCCCTGTAGGAATTAAAGGAATGCTTCATCTCTGCTGTAAGGTCCAGTACTGTGGGGTCACCATAAAGGGGTGATACAAACTCTTTCTGATATTTCTTAGTAAAGCAAAACTTGACATAGAATGTTTATCTTGGGGCGAGTCCTAAGGTCTACTAACAAAAGCAGAAGGTACTAATTCAGTGAAGTCGCACTGGTGTCTTGTTTTGGTTTTGCATGCTTTGGATTTTCAGAGCTATTTACAGTTTATGCATGTGACGTTGTTTTGCCAATTCCTACGTTAAGCAAGTAATATTAAAGATACGGATGCAAACTGTGCTGGCACTTTTTGCAGTTGTTACGATATGCTGCGCTGTCCATATTGTTGGCGCTATTACTGTGAATATTTGCTCTGTATAACTAAGCAAACCGCATTGGAGAGGCAGTGAAGCTCTGCAGTTTGGTAACTTCAGTGTTATGTACTTCCTAGCCTGCCGCTGTGCCGCCTTTGGGGGGACCTGCAGCAGGAACTGTACCGTTCTACAATCCTTCTCAATTTGCACAAGTGAGTAAAGGCCTCATCTTTACTTTGAACAAAACTATTGAACAAAAGCATGATTTTATCTTTTACTACCTTAATCTGGACTGTTGCATGTAGAGTGTTAAATGTGCACATAGAGCAGTCTAGCACCTGGTTAAGTTAACAGGTTTGCCTTCAAAACTTTATTGCCAACTTCTTGTATTCTCTCTCTAGTATGATACTTTTACAGAACACTTTTTATTCCTGTTCTCCTTTTTCAGTCTCCTGCAGTCACTGGAAGTTCAAGACTGGGAAGAATTGGACAGAGGAAGTATCCAGCATTGAAGTAGAATACAATGGCTTTGTTATTTGGAATTCTCACTGGTGTTCTGAGTATACAAAGAACTATTCAATCTTACAGCACATGGTATCAGTACTAGCTGCAGAAATTTAGTGATGGGTGATTTTCTTCATGGGTCTCCCTACTTGCACCTCATCTACGCAAATCATTACCAAACATGAAATGTATGTAACTTTTCCTTTTCAAAAAACCTGGCTAGAAATAGCTTTGCTGTGATAAAGAATAGACACAAGGGAGGAAATAGTTGCTGTCTGTTACAAGAACTATTTGTAAATTGCATAGGCAATTTATTCCTTTACGTTTATTTTAAAACCTTCTAGTGCGACCTTTGAAGGCATAGTTTCAGGGATTCCTTGATTTCTGAAGGATGCTCCCCTCTCAGCGAGGGAGAAAACATGTCCACATTTTACCATAACACTCTGTGGCCTTAAGAGGACCATGCACAATTGTAACGCTTATCAAACAGGACTTGGTTTGTCAGTGATGAACTGGGAGATGTTCCTGGGAAATGCCTCACGCTGGTTTGCTTTCTGAAGGAGAGAGGGGGCCACAGCTCATCCAAATAAATTGACCTATATTGAATGAAAACTGTGACTGTAATCTAATACTAATTTGATTTGGATATTACCTAGTATGTATGTAGTTTGTGGGTTAGACTACTTGTAAAGCAAATTGTATAGTCTGAAGGAAGCTCTCTGTATAATAGCCGATGCTGTACTATTTGATGAGTGAGTGTTCTTTTAAGTGCAATACGGTTACTTGCTTTCTCTCAAACTGCTGGCACTGTACAATTAAGGTGGTAACAGCTTGAAAGTTAAGTTTTTTCCTCTTGTGCCAGAATCAGCATAATACTGTTCTTGAATTTCCATTACTAAAGTAACAAAGGTCTTAAATAGCTAACAGCTGAATTTCAAACATACTAAAAGTAGACGGATTAGACCTCTACCGACGGATTTTAAAATCTGTAGATTTAATATAGGAAATCTTGGAAACCATGATATGCAACATTCATATTCACTGCAGAGTCTGAATTATCTGCAAAGAGAGAAATAAACTTTAAATATTTATTAAATCATTAGGCCATATTTTATTTAGAACTTGCCACCAAACTATTTGATTTTTACTTGAATTTCTGCCCATGAGTAGAAATAATGTGAATGTGAAATTGCCAGTGTTGGTCCCCGATTGTTTTTTTTTCTTTTCCTGAATAACACCATGTTCTGAGATCTCGATAGCCTTACATATGTCCTAAAAGGTTTGTATGTAGCCGAAGCAAAATGCTGTTCGGGGGGATTAGAAACCTTTGCGTAATGGTCCATACTCAATTCCAGATGTGGTCAGCAGCAGTGTGGTTTACCTTTCTATAACTGAAACCTAGTCAGACACTTGGCTTTCTTCTAGTTCAGCCAGGCTGCTGATTATTTTCTCCTTTCAGTAGAGACTGCCAAACATCTTAATTCAAGAAGGCTTCCTTTGAGCTGGGAGCGGCTATCTTTCCTAAATGTAAGATTTGACACTGTAAATTCTTAAATAAAATATTTTGCGCTCTGGAGCACTTTCACATTTTACTTCTTCTTGTGGTTATTGCTTTAGCAAGCTGGGTGAAGGAACCTCTCTTGTCTGTTGGGAAATAATCCATTTAAAGAAAGGGAGCTAGAGGGTGATGCATCTTCATTGAAACGTTCAAAATTGCATCTGTAGACTTAAAATAAGCTACTCTTAATATTTTTTATAAGTGTAAAATGCTTTGCTTTAAACTGCTTATTTAAATAGTGCCTCAATCTAGAATGGATCGCGACAGTCGTGGGTTTGATTGATTGATGGGTTGGGTGATTGATTTACGTCTCGCTGATCCGGTGCGGTCCTCCGGCCGCCAGGGGGCGCTGCCCGCAGGGCGGGCCCAGCGTCGCC